CAGTCATATTTGTAGGAATAGGAACTCAATTTTCAGACCAAAACAGACTGTTAAAAATATATATCTCAATGTCCTTAATGAGACTTAATTTCTAGGGGCAGGTTCCCCTTAGCACCATGGATTTTGTATTAGAAAATACTCTTGTAAAGGGATACGATCTTATTGACTATAAAGATTATTTTGTTTAAACTAGGTAAGCTCTCTCAGAAATATCAGTTTGAAAGGCAGCCATAATATTGGTCACAGCTCCTCATTACTTAATTCATGGGGTCTAGGTGGCCAATATTAGGGCTAACTTAGATTTGAATAAAAATACGAAGGGTTTCCATTGAAGCATAGAGGGAGGGAAGATTAAGAGGTAAAAGCAGAGAATAAGTGAAGAAGGGATCTCTTCCTTTTCAAATACCCTTCCTCCCCCACTTTCCATGTCTTTATCCAGAGCCTAGAAGTTAGCATGTTTCTTTAGACAACCATGAATCAGCTGGTGTAGCTAAATAAATTTTAGAATCAAAAGCATATGCAATGTCAGAATATGGGAAATTAGGACCAAGAAATCTAATGTCAAAAAAGTCAAGAAAATGTATCAAAGGAGACTTTTTTATTTTTCAGTGGATGATACAGGCTTGATAATGTCCCAAAAAACATAAGGGAAAAACATACATCTTGAGATTATGCCAGTTTTTTTTAGAAGGAGCATATGATATCAATAATAATCTCTTGTTCAGAGCTATCTATCAATTGAATTTTATTGTCGCAAATTATTACCTGAAGACAATGCCCACATTTTTTAAATATTTTTTATTAATTTCAGAGTTAATGTTGGTAGCCTTTGGTCTCCATAGGCCCAAGAAACCAAGGTGAAAATATTTTAAAAATATTTTTATTGATTTCACAGAGGAAGGGAGATGGAGAGAGAGATAGAAACATCAATGATGATAGAGAATCATTGATTGGCTGCCTCCTGCATGCCCCCTATTGGAGGTTGAGCCCACAACCTGGGCCTATGCCCTGACCTGGAATCCAACTGTGACCTTTGGGTTCATAGGTTGACACTCAACCACGGAGCCACCCAGCTGGGCCAATGGCCAAATAAAGACTCAATCCGGAAATCTGTCCTTATCCTTTGTTCTTCTACATTTTCTATTGTTTTCTTTCCCTAGAAAAAAATGTTTATTTTCTTTTTGTGAACTTAGGTTCACACAAATGAAGTTAGGTTCTAGTCATTATAATGTCATAGTTTGTGTCTCTTTCTTATATACTAAATATATATCTACATATATATCTATATATATCTATATGTGTGTGTGTATGTGTTCAGAGAAATACTCATAGATAATTTCAAATTCATTACTCTATTTCACTATAATTTTTGTTAGTTTTCATATTTTAACTTCTAACCTAGTGTTATACAATAGATATATAATATAAGCACACATTAGTTATAATTTCCTAGTAGCAACATTAAAAAACAGAAGAGAAACAGGTTAAAATAACTTCAAGGTATATGTTTTTAACCCAATATAACTATAATGTCATCATTTCAATGTATAACCTATTAGAAATAACATATTCTACATTCATTTTTTTCATGTTAGGTCTTCAAAATTTGGTCAGATGTTATTAATGTATATATAAATTAAAACTAGCCACATTTCAAGGGCTCAATAGCCATATATTGCTAATGGTCACCATGTTAGACAGTGTAGGTTTAAACTTAACCTTAAAGGCTGCAACATCTAGATTTTTTCATTTGGAAATTATTCCTCAAAGTCATAGTCTTTGAGAGGGTCAGAATACAACCATAATTATTTGCTAGATAATGTTCTAACATAATATTTTTATAATCATGCAACTATTATTTTTTATTTTTCTAAGTCTTGAATCCTTGAACAACTATGAAATAAATCTATCAGAAACTATCTTCACTCTTAGTATTGCTGCTAGGCAACCATGTTCCCAGAACAAGTGACTGTGAATGTAATCTTATTAAAAATGAGATTTGATTGTATATTCATTTTATTCATGTATGTTCATGCTTTTGATTTGGGAGTTAGATGGTCTATCCATCTGTTCATGTTAGTTAAAACCTAGAAGGGAATATTAGACAAGGCCCAAGAAATTACTGGAACATTTATTGTTAAGTTTTTAGATTTATTCTACATGTTGCATTTAAGTATAAAATATTAGTATATATCTATCTTGTAGATGTAATAGGTGTTCAAAATATTACTTGAATAAGTGAAGAAAATAATTATTCATTCTTCGATGAAAGACATCCCTAGCTACGCACAAGTCTTCAGGTTCCACTCCAGAATAAATTATTTCCCTGATGTTTAACAATGAGATTTTATCAGAATTTTTCCAGAATAGTCACACTGGTTTTATAGAAGTTGCCACTAGTGGGTATCTAATCTAGTGGTCTTCAAATTAATTATGTGTCCCCTGGGGAAATGAAAACATACCTGGAAGTGCCTGAGCACAAAGTTTTAGGGGGATTAATCTTTAGATATTAAATGACCATAAAGTTTCTTTGCTTAAATTGCTTTTTCAAGACTGTATGTACCTTTTTTCAATGTATCTCTATTACATCATTTGTTTCTTCATTTACACAATCTTATTTACTCATTTTACCCCCCACTAAATTAAATTTCATTTATAAGAAAGGAATGAAAAAAGGCTAGGCATCTGAAATATTTCTATGATATACCATGATGGGTAAAACTTTCTGAGAAACCAAACAAAGGGACTCCTGAAAATATTGGCAAGAGTTTGATAAAGTGAATGATACCTATGACCGGTTAATGTTCTCTAGTGTAAGAAATGGTATCAATTTCATTGTTTTCAACAAAAATAAAGAGGAATCCAATGGAGTTACCATTTATTAGGTCATTAAAATAATATGTCCTAAGAGATCATTATATGGTTCTTTTCATTCCAAAAGTACTTAAAAATGGCACTGGACTTTGATAAAATGATTCCAATAACATCTTATTTATGTTATCAAATTTATTTATGTTAATACATTGATGTAAAAGAAAGAAAATAAATTGGTAAAAATTGTTGCTGACTGTTTCTCATTCATTTAGTAATTAATACTCATTTTTTAGATTAAAAAGCAGGCATTCCATTAAGAGATGGGTTTCCAATTAAATTTTACTTTTGGTATATCAAAAGTTATATTATGCTTATGTTGTATTTCTTATGTACTAATCAGTATTTGGAAAGTAACTCAATACAAAATATACTTTTTAAACAATGTGTTATAGACTACCAATTTTTAAGCATCAAATTGAAATATAAATACATATTTTTGCAAATAATTATGATACATTGTTGAAATAGTTTCAACATAAAAAATACACTATATGGTGAAAACTATACAGTGGAAGTAAAATAAAAATTTAATTTTAAGGAACAAAGGGACAAATGTAAAATATGTGAATGTTAAAGAATGTGTTTTTGTATTTTATAATTTATGCTGTCAGGTATCAAAGCGTAATGTATTTATATTCCATTGAATATTTAAATATGTGATATAACAATTTATTTTAAATTAACTATATTTACAATATATCCCTAAATGCATTCTCAACCACTATGTAACTTTATGATAAAAACCGTAGATGTCAGCCTGAAAATGCATGAGAAGATACATAGGGTTTTTCCCCCCAGTGATTATTTTTGAGAGTACATACAAATTTCACAACCACTGTTGTCAAAAAACAAACAAACAACAACAACAACAAAAACCCACCACTAACAACAACAAAAATACGCCACTATTTAAAGTCGACCCTGATGAGCTGGATGAGGGTGGGAAGAATATAATATGGTGAGAAAAAATGTGTACATTGTCATTAGAAGACCTGAAGTGAGAGAAGCTGAAAACCTGAATCTAGTTACTGACCAACCAACAAAATCCTATCAGTCCATTCTACATTGACCTGTGTTGTTTAGGAGGTGTGAAGAAGGTATTTCCTATTTGACCAAAGGTCTTCAAAAAACCATAGATAGCCATAAACAGAAACAAGCAATGTCAACTAGACCTATGCTGACAGAGCTAGGGGAGGAGTGGAGCAAAGGAACAGGTAAAAATATACCAGCCACATGGCATGATGGGATTAATGAAGTGTGGAGGGACAGGGGGAAGAGAAACAGGAATATCCAGACACAGAGAAATCAGAGCTATTTGGCCCTAAAAATAGGGCCGGAGATTCTACTAAAGCACAATTTGGTGCTTTTGCTGATATACCTAGGATCCGAAACCTGGGCCTTGTGAGGCCATCCATATTTTATCTTGTGCCTAAATTGAGGCCACCTGTTCTTCATTCTCAGAGTCTCCTGATACATAAATTCTGGGGATGGAGACCATTGTATGGTGAATCATAGGGATAGTCTAGTTCCTGTCATAAAAAGGAAAGCAGTTGCCTCATAGGTAGTTTTCTAATGTAATTTATTATTTAAACAAGGACAATTTGAGAGGAAAAGGGATTGCTATTAATAATGATGCTGAGGAAAATAAGTGTAAACCATGACTATCTGGAGCAAACCAAAAAATATGCTCACCTTAATCAAAGGCATGTTCTTAGAATGATCTTCTTTTATTGGGAGAGATGTTCCCTGCCTAATCCACCAAAACAGAGCTTTGTATTATTTCATTTCAAACATCATTAAATGTCAACCTTTACTGTTAACTATTTTCTAGGCTTTTTGCCAGGACTTTTAAGAGGAAAAAGAATTGTATGATCTCTGTTCTCAAGCTTATTATATCTGTTAGAGATGACATACATTTGTGCACTTACAGAGACACATGTGCATTGATAAGATGTGAGATGGGAAGAGTTAGGGATATCTCATGTGATTCAGATTCAACCTGTGTCAACACTTTGAATACCTTGTTTCTATTCTTCCTCAAAATGCCTGGTGTAGAGCGTTGTCTATAGTAGAACCATCATCAGAGTTTATGAACTGGTTCAAAGTCCCTGCCTCCTTGGAGTGATTCAGAGCAATTCTCTCTTGCAGGAAAACAGGGTGGCAATTCCCTGTCGGATTGACTTGGTCTTGACACTATAGATGATGGGGTTGAGCACAGGAGGCACAAAGAGGTAGATGCTAGACATGAGTGTGTGGACCAGGGGTGAGGCATGTTTAGCCGCGCGATGCATCACAGACACACCAATCATCGGCACATAGTACACAAGCACTGCACAGATGTGTGACACACATGTGTTGAGAGCCTTCCGACGTCCCTCCCCAGAAGCAATGCCCAGCACTGTATAAAGAATCAGTATGTAAGAGACCACAATGAGCAGTGAGTCTAGCCCAAAAGTGGCCAGGACAATGGCCAAGCCCAGGATGCTATTGAACTTCGTATCAGCACATGGCAGCTGGATCAGGTCTGAGTGGAGGCAGTAGGAGTGGGAGAGGATGTTAGTGTGGCAATAGGGCAGTTGCTTCAAAAGGATTGGAAGGGGAGCCATGAGTATCACACTCTTCAGTGTAATGCCCAGACCCATGCAGATGATGCGGGGCTGGGTCAGTATGGCTGTATAACGCAGTGGGTTGTAGATGGCTACAAAGCGGTCATAACTCATGGCCAAGAGGACCCCTGACTCCATGCAGGAGAAAGTGTGAATGAAGAACATCTGAGACAGGCAGCCATCAAAGTCAACCTGGCGGGCGTCAAACCAAAGAATTCCCATGACAGTGGGCAGTGTAGACACAGAAACACCCACCTCAGTCACAGCCAACATGGAGAGAAACAGGTACATGGGCTCATGTAGGGCAGAATCTACCTGCACTGCTGCCATGATTAGGCTGTTGCCCACAATGGCCACAATATACATGATGAAGAAGGGGATGGAAAGCCAGCCATGGTGGGGCTCCAATCCTGGGATTCCAGTCAGAAAGACGGACAGGAGATCAATACTTTCATTGTTCTTGGCTCCCATATCACCAATAGCAGAGATCAGTCTTCAGCTGTCATTTGAAAAACAGAACAAAGTTAGTTCCCACCTATAGGGTCATCTGCCTCAGCAGTCCACCTCTAAGTGTGAAGGAGGGAGGTGCAAAGAGGTGGGGGAAAGCTGAAGTCATTTACATTATTCTAAGTAAAAATATAACAGACATTTTCTTCCCACCTCCTCTTTCCCCTAACAGCAAGAATCCTAGAAAATGTTTTAGACTGAAAAATCTTAAGTTTCTTATGGAAACTTAAAAATTAAGAGCAGAAACACAGGAATAAATCAGAACTGGATCAAAATCCACACTCAGCCAGTTACTAAATATGTAATGTGGACATTGCATTTATACTCTAACCCAAGCTTGTGGTTTTTTTTTTTAACTTGTAAAGTGGAGATAATAATAACACTATTCTCTTGTTTTGATATAAGATGAAAGTGAGAAAATTAACATCATATGTTCAGTGTTTTAGAGCTCCACAATGGACTTTGGCAAACCTTAGTTTGAAGCCCAGTTTACAGTTTATTCTCAGTGTGACCTTGAGCAGCTAACTTAACCTTCCCATGGCTCAGTGTGTCCATTTGTAAACTAAGGGAAACATTAAGACAAAAAGAGTAATAGTAAGTAATGTACTAAAAAACTAAGCATCAATTTCTACAGAGCCTAGGTTATAGTTTAGATCCACAAATTCTTCCTGTACTTATGTTTCTGTTTCACTATGGGGAAGAGAGTAAAACCAAGGCAGATCTAGGGGGAGTCATAAAAAAGAATTGAGTTGTAGCTCTGCCAATGTGAGTCTGAGAAAACAGGAACCTCTGGAGAAATGGCAGTCTCTGTGTGTCCGACTTCACTCTGGGTTCACTCTGGAGTTGGCGGGTGCGGGTGGGCACATGTTTTGAATGAAAGTGAGACATTGGTTTTAGAAAGTTGAAAAATAGAAAAATATGAATAAGGATGATAAAGGATATGGACATTTCTTGAAAATTATACTAATACACAAGTGAGCTCTGTGTTTAAAAACAGAATTCAGAGAGGCTGTTAAATAAAGAGGCAGTGGCTTTAAAATAGCAGATTTGATCTAGAGTCCATGAAGAGAGCAAAGACACAGAGATAAAGGTCTCAATTAGTGGCCAAGAGATCAGAATAAAATAGTTAAACCCCAACCAGAAGGTGAAAATAATATATAATATAATACAATACAGTAAAATGTGGTATCATGTAATATCATGTAGTGAAATATAATAAATTAAATTTATAAACTAAATTTTAAAAATATGAAATAGAAAGGTAAAGTCATAATTAGTATAAAATTCGAATTATGTCCAATCATCAAATTGTTCTTTAGCCCAACTTACTTGAACATAGGATTCACTGATTTGTTATCAATTCTTTATCCTGCAGTTAAACAATGTTGATCTGAAATGGTCCATATAGCTAAAGAATTTAATGGAACTGCTCTCCGAGAATGGAGAAACAGGAGAATATACAGTTAAGGGAATACAAAGAGCTATGACTATACAACACATGTACAACATAATAGTGAGATGGTCCCAGAACCTGCATTCTCTTAGTATTCACTTTCCAGCCCTTTCTTTATGCACCTTTCTTCAATTTCCCTACAGAAATTCCAAGATTAACAACTTCCTGAAAAGTGAAATATACTTGCTTGTGCCTTTTGTTTATTAGTGTCCCTTGCTTCTGCCATGTAGATCAGTAGTTCTCAATCTTGGCAACACATAGTAATCACCTATCAAGTTAAAATCTCACTGCCCAGGTTACACTCCACACCGATTAAATTAGAATCTTTGGATTTGGTATCTAATTATCAATATGTTTTAAAGTTCCCAATGTGAACCCAAAGTTGAGAACCAGTCATTTGGCTCATTTGGTGACATTTCAGTCACTCTCCAGTGACAGTATCTATCTATCTATCTATCTATCTATCTATCTATCTATCTATCTATCTATCTATATCTATATCTATATCTAGATATATAGATATATAGATATATAGATATATAGATATATAGATATATAGATATATAAAAGCCCAGCAACCGGTATGGCAGAATGACCAGAACGACCAGAACGACCAGTGGCTCTGATGTGCACTGCGGCAGCCAACCGGCCTGATCTGGGCCCTGATTACCCCTCCCCGAGCTGGCCCGGCCTCCGATTGGACCCTAACACCTTTGTTGTGAGCCAAATTAATAAATGCCCACTGATTTGATTAGTGAGTCAACATTCAGGCTGAGTCACCTACTGACTCAGTAAACCTGGTAGGAGGAAGGGGCAGGGGAAGGAGGCAGTAACAGACACAGCAGCTCAAAGACAGAAGCCCTAAACGTCTAAGTGAGGTTACCATGCCCAAATCAAAAGCGCATGAATGAAGTTAAGGAGTGACAGGAAAACCCAGGTTCAGTTTCAGAAAGTAAAGGTCAAATTAATAGAATCATACCAACCGCAGAGGGAGCTGCCCTCCCCACAGCCACGCCTGCTCCCGATTGGCCTCCAATACCCCAGTAGGGGGTGGGGCAGACCAGCCAACCTCCCAAGGTCCCTCCCCACTACTGGCCCAGCCTGATGGGCTCCCATTGGGGTGGCCATACCCCACCCATGCACAAATTCGTGCACTGGGCCTGTAGTTTTAGATAAAAAAGTAACTTGCAAGTACTCCCTAAGTCTTTTTTTCTTGTTTTGCAGATAGCCTACCTACCCTACTCCTGACCTGCAGTTTAAACATTCTTCTGTGTTTCATTAATTGCTAGATTCTTAGCATCTATGACTTCATACTATTTTATACAGATGTTTTCTATTATGTTAGAGTTTTATTTATATCTCTTTTCTCATTGCCATAGTTTGGGCTTGTTTAGGGATAGACTTGTCCTTAGTTCATTCTTGTCTCCCCAATATTTCATGATTCTAACACAAAGACATGCTCAAGAGATCAGGAATTAATAAAAGTATGAACATACTGCTCATAGCCATAAACATGCAGTTCTGGATTCCATACTCCAGATCAGAGTTAAACCAACTGAGAAACATTCAAAGGCAAAGGGTATCAAGTCACTTAAAGAGAGACGTTAAGGCTCTTTCTTCCCCCACGTTCCCTGTACAAAATGCCCAGTGATGCCTTAGAAACTGTGTCTGGTATAGAGCAGGAACTGCCACCGCCTCAGGCTGGGACAGGGTCAAGAACAGAATCTGACAATCATGCACCAGTACCAGAGCTCGAGGAACAAGATTCCACACAGGCAACCACACAACAAGCCCAGCTGCCAGCAACAGCCGAAATCAATGAAGAACCAGTCAGTAAAGCAATATGGAGCTGAGTAAAAAGAAGGTTCAAAAGGCTGTGTCCAAACTAGATCTTCTACAGGTTACAGAGGTTACTAGCTCACTATCCAGACATCTAAGAACGTCCACTTTGTCCTCACAAAACCAGAGGTCTACAAGAGCCCAGCTGCAGTTACCTACATAGTGTTGGGGGAAGCCAAGTTCGAGAATTTATTTCAGCAAGCACAGGTAGCAGCTGATGATACAGTCAAAGTTCAAGGTGAATCTGCCTCCAACATTCCAGAAAACACACAGACTCCAACTATACAGAGGAGAGTAGAGAAGAGGCTGATGAAACAGGTTGGAAGTTAAAGGCATAGAACTGGTCATGTCACAGGCAAATGTGTTGAGAGCAGAGGCAGTCTGTACCCTGAAGAACAACAGTAACAATGTTTGTTGTAAATACCATTATGGGATTAACAGTGTAACCATCTAAAAAATGAGAACCTTTTTTTCTTTTTTGGGGTGTTTCTAAAGAGTAATGGCAGCTTGGTTTGAAATTTATACTGTTTCTATTATGGCTTCTTGTGTGATGAGATAAAAAAGAGCGCTCAAGGAACCAATGATACCTTGCTTTGAGAAAAGGATACCATAGAAGAGATGGAGATGGGGTAGGTGCAAAACGTAGTGGGTGATAGATAGAAATCACAGGGTGATAGTCTGGGGCTCAGGTAGGGAAGATTTTTCTGAGTTAAACCTGCACAGGAGATAATATGTTCTGGTCAGTGGAGATTTTCAAACAAAGACTAAAAACTCCTGGACAGCAATGTTTAATTGAGATTAAAGGCCCTTTCAACTCTGCTTCTGCCCTCAGGCCTGATGTTCCAGACTGTCAAGGTCTCTCTTATTCTGTGACACTGAGAATATCATGGCTAGGAATCTGTGTGGCCAAAACAGAGGCAAGTGCCTTCCACCTTTAAAACAGTCCCTGGAAGCCCTGTCTGAAAGTGTTTTGGAGGTTACAAGGGCATTTTCATGAATAGTATTCTTTTCATAGAAAACCTGCATGAAAATAAAATTTGGGGATTTTTCTATCTCCATCATGGGTTAAATAAATCATAGCTAAGATACAAACACTCACATATACATCAATAGAAATTCACTCAAATGTACTGAGACATGAATGAGAATGAAAAAACCACATAGAGGCACAAGCAGAATTGTAGACAGTAGCACACTTTTGTGCATATACTTAGAAGACACAATTGGTTTAAATTCACCTGAGAAAGCTTTGAGAAGTGTCAGTTGGATTGGAAGAGCTCACAGGGGCTCCAGAATGGGCCTCTGGCAGGCACTAGCCAAAAGAAGAGGCAAACTTTATATTTTTGAATGACAGCTCCCAGAGGTCAGTGCCTCCAGGGTCCTGTTTTGCCTGAATGTGATGCTGTGCTGGTGATGGGAAAAGGAAGATTAAATCTCACCTTGGGAGCAGGAAGGAAAGAAAAAAAGCATGTCCCCTGGAGATAATTCTCTCTCTACACAGAGAAAATCAAATTCCAACTCCTTCCTTATGATGAAGAATAGGATGGAGACAAATTCCTCCAAACTCCATAGCAACATCCCCTTCTAATTGGAATTATCCAGTCTCAAAACTGGAACTCTGAGCACAGAACCCAGAGTTTATTTTTCTGAATTCTGGGCTTAAAATCTATAT